ATCGTACCCCACCTGGGGGCATATCTTCCTTACCTGCCGCGTGTAATTGGTGCAGCCCCTGAAACAAGCGAAGAGAGGACGGATGGGGGAGGGAGAAAGATGGAGCACGGGATTCGCAGGAGGGCGGCTAGGAGCAGAAAACACTTGGCAGAACCAGACGGGCTGATCGGGCGGGTAGACCCAAACAGGCGGGTCGGGAAGGCGGGCCCAGGCAGCCAGGTCGAGAAGGCGCGTTGCTGAAGCGTGAGTACTGCATGGATCGAGAGGAGAGCTCGAGCGACAGCGCGATTCCCAAGTAAATCGTGAGAAAGGCCAGAGCGAGAGCGCGATTCCTGGGCGTCGAGGGCGCGGCGTTTTAATTAACTGCGAGGAAGCCCCGCGCGAGAGCGCGAGTCCGGCATAAATTGTGAGGAAGTCCTGCGCAAAAACGCGATTTAAGAATAAATTGTGCGGAAATGTCACGCGAGAGCCGTTATTGTTGAAATTCGGGGCCCAACAAAGCAGTTTGGTGACACCAAGCGTTCCCTTTAAAAGGAAATATTAAAAACATCTGCGCGAGCCCCGAGAGAAGCACTTCCATTGAAAAAACAATGGTTACCTAAGGGGGGGTAAAAAATACAAAGTCTCCCGAATGAGAGGCCAACAACAACAACAACAATTACTAGCACGTGGGGACACTCCGTTCTCACCAGTGCCAGGGTTTTCATAGGAGGCGGGCAATACCCCCACTTTGTGGGGGGGCCGGTTCAAGCTCTACCGAATTTCCAAACGACTCTTCGCCACCACCCACACCCAGCTTCCCGCCCTATGACGTTCGGACACTTCACTTCGTGGCATGCGGACGACCGTGGCTACTATTCAGGGCCCCGCGGCCGACGACGACGGCGTGCGCGCGCGAAGAAAAAACGAATGTGTCCCGCATGGTATTATTTGACAGGGATGATGGCCCTGGCAGGTGCGCAACCGTTGTTGCAGAAGTTCGAAAAAGTTGCTCGCAAAAGCCCGTTTGACAGAAATGTTTAAAAAGTGTTGGGTTTCCTACGAATCCGCAAGAGCGCGCGGGATGAAATTTTGACATTTTTTTTTGAAAAACCATTGGTTTTTTGATGTTTTTATGTTAAAATCGTACGAAAACTAAGGTTTTGGAAGGATTTCGTCTTGCGCGCGCGAATGTCCACTTTACCTTATTTTTTGCAAGGGATTCTTGAAGTTTGGTTATGTTAGAACAAGAAATGTCATTTTATATTGTTTTTTGCAAGGGAAAGCGGGGGGGAACAAAACAACCGGATCCGGACCAACCCGTTTTGCCTGAGACTTCCTCACGAAAATGATGAAAACGTGGCTGCGGCCTAGGCGCGGCGAGGGGGCCGCGCACCAGGGGTCCCAACAATAATTATTCTTTAGAAGTAATAATGTTCAACAACAACAACAACCACAACCACAATCACAACGACAACAGCAGCAGCAGGAGCAACAACAACAGCAATAACAACGACATCAACAACAATAACAATAACAACAACAACGACAACAACAACAACAACCACAACCACAATCACAACGACAACAGCAGCAGCAGGAGCAACAACAACAGCAATAACAACGACATCAACAACAATAACAATAACAACAACAACGACGACAACAACAACAACAACAGTGGCAGCAGCAGCAACAGCAACAGCAACAACAACCACAACAACAACAAACAGTAGCAGCAGCAACAACAATACTTGCAGCAGCAGCAGCAACAGCAACACCAACACCAACACCAACAACAACAACAACAACAACAATCATTTTAAGACTGTTCGCTCTTACCTGCTCGCGTGTCACTAAACACGTATATCCCAAACCCTCGATGCCCGCCCTCTTCGTCTTCGCTTGTACCCCCTTAGGGGTGTATCTTTCTTACCTGCAACGTGTACCTCTCACCCGAAGAGTGTGTCATGCTTACCTGCAAAGCGTATCTCAATGGAAAAATGCAATGGTTACCTGAGGGGGATCAACAACAACAACAATAAAGGGGCCCTGGGACATACAAATAAAACACACACACAAATAACAAGATTCCCCATATGTCCCCATGCGTTCTAATTCTTTGTCTTCCCCCCCCCGCCTCCTATATTTTCCCATGTTTTCTGGGGAATCGACGATGCAGTTGTGTCTGTGTGTTTTTCCCCTGCTGAAGCAACAGAAAGGAGGTGGCCGAGCAGTGGCCTCACTGTCGAGGTGGTCCGCGTGGAGGTCGTGGCCGTCGTCGACCGCGTGACCGTCGCGAACGTCGTCGACTTCGTCGACTCGGATTCGACGGTGGGGGCGGGACCCGCTCCCGAGGAGGAGGAGCAGGAGAAGAAGGAGGGGGGTGGAGGAGGAGGAGGAGGAGGAGAAGAAGGAGGAGGAGGAGGAGCGCACGTCCCTCTGAGGAAGAGAAGGAGGAGGAGGAGGAGGAGGAGGAGGAGGAGGAAGGAGGAGGAGGAGGAGGAGGAGGGAGGAGGAGGAGGAGGAGAGGAGTGGAGGAGGAGGAGGAGGAGGAGGAGGGGAGAGAAGAAGGGGGGAAGGGCCCCTGCGCGTGCGCCCCTCTGCTGCCCTCAACCCGAGGCCCTGGCGCGCCGGCTCTTCCGAGCGGGGCGCTCTCGCCAGGCCTCGGGCCCCCGGGGCCCTCACAGAGAGCGGCCCCTGCTCGAAAGATGACGCACAAAGGTTCCTAATCCTCCACCCCCTCCTCCTCCTCCTCCTCCTCCTCCTCCTCCTCCTCCTCCCCCTCCTCCCCTCTCCTCCTTCCTCCTCATCCTCCTCCTCCTCTTCCTCCTCCTCCTCCTCCTCCTCCTCCTCCTCCTCCTCTTCCTCATCCTCCTCCTCCTCCTCATCATCATCATCGAAATCAGCATCCTCATCCTCATCAGCATCAGCAGCAGCAGCATTATCAGTATCAGCAGCATTATCATCATCAGCAGCATCATCATCAGCAGCATCATAATCATCAGCAGCAACAGCATCATCATCATCATCATCATCATCATCATCATCAGCAGCAGCAGCAGCATCACGATTGGCAGCAGCAGCATCATCAGCATCATCGTCATCATCAGTAGCAGCAGCATCATCAGCATCGTCATCAGCATCATCATCAGCATCGTCATCATCAGTATCAGCAGCATTATCATCATCATCAGCAGCATCATCATCAGCAGCATCAGCATCATCAGCAGCAACATCATCAGCAGCAGCAGCAGCATCAGCATCATCATCACCTTCATCCCCACCCTCGTCCTCATCCTCAACCTCATCCTCTTCCTCATCCTCATCCTCATCCTCCTTCTCCTCCTCCTCCTCCTCGCACATAGATGGGGTCCAGGACCCCACCTCTGTGGATCGTGCGCGGGCTACCCGTGCCGAGAGCGAATACACAGTGATCGCGGGTACACACACACACACCATATACCGAGCGGACCACCCCACCGCCACATCGCTCTGGCTTTGACAAATGCAGCCGAAGCGCTGCCATACGGAACCCCAAACAATGAACGAGGCCCCTTCTCTCCACAAGGTAAGCTTCGACTTCGCACAGAAACCCGAGGAAAACCGAAAACAAGCTGCCAAACAAGTAAGGAACAATGAGCCCCTCCCCAACGAAAAGGGTTCCTTCTTCAGCGGCCCGACTGTGTGGTGGGTGGGGGTCTTCGCCGCGGCCGCCCGCCGCGCTCTGGCCTGCGCGCCTGGCTGCTGCTGCCTCCCCCCGGCTGCTCATCGCCCAACTCTTCGACGTATGAACGTCCCTTCTTCCTCTCGGCCGTACCCCCCCCTCTCTTTGCCCGCCGGCCAATTCGCTAGTTAGTGCCCCATATCTAGCTTCTCGCTGGAGCGGAGTTCGCCGCTCGTGATTTTGGGCGAAAAATCACAGATAGTCGAGAAATGCACCAAAATTGAAAAATTGTAGGAAACCGCCCCCTGACTGTTTTTTGCCTATCCTTGAACCTTCCTCCTGCAGAGGGACACGCCCGCCTCACGTGCCGTGGGGGCTCGACGTGCTGCCCGAGACGTGTCCGCCACGTGCGCGTGGGCGCACCTGCCGCCGCCCGGCGCACTCGGCGCGCGCCGCGCGCACCTGGCGCACCGGGCGCGCCTGGCGCGCGCGGGCCCCTGGGCTCGTGTTTGCGGGACTGGAAAATGACCGCAGCCACTGCTTCTTGTCTGCGCCGCCTCCCAGCCGGCCGAAAAAGAAGCAGTGGTCGTGGTCGTTTCCTTGGTGCCACGCTCACCGAAAATGACCACAACCACTGCTTTTTGTTTCTGCGGGCTGGACGGCGGCAACCAAAGAAAAGCAGTGGCTGAGTCGTTTTCACGCCCCGTAGTGTTGCCCACATCGTACTCAAGCCCAGGATCGCCCAACCAGCCAACTGCGCGCCATCCGCCGCCGACACGCGGGCGACGCGCTCAATGGGCGGCTGCGCCGCCCGCGCGCAAGGCGACGCCCCGAGCGTGGCGGTGAGCGCGCAGGTCGCCCGCTGCGCATGTCGGACCGCGGCAGTCGCAGCTCGCCGTCGCCTGCGGGCCTGGGGACCACATCCCAGAAATCACTCCGAGCAGCCAGGACAGCATCGAAAAAGAGCGCCCAGCGAGCTTCGCCTCCCGGGCCCCGGGGCCCGACGCGCGAAGGCCCTCCCGTTGCGGCACTTTCCTTGGTGCTCGAAAGTCTTTCTGGTGATCGAGGCTAAAGCAGGCTGGACCAGCATGACTGAAGGGGCCCCAGGACACACAAATGAATACACACAAAGGAAAGGATTCCCCACATGTTCTGGGGGTTTGTCTTCCCCCCCACTTCCCATACTTTCCCATACTCTCTGGGGAATCGACGATTGACTGTGTCTGTGTGCTTCTCCCCTCCTGCATAACCCCGGGCCGCCGGGTGCGCCTGCTGCGCGTGGCGCACCTCTGGCACGCGCGGCGCACCTCGCGAGGGCCGCGCCACCTGGCGCCCGTGCCGGTCTCCCCCGCGGCTCTCTGGCCGGTGGCGACCTCTGCGCTCGCCGAGCCTCGAGCGCCCCTTCCCTGGTGGGAGGGCGGGCGTTCGACGCTCGCGGTGGCGTTCGACGTTCGAAGCCTCGAGAAGCCTCGAGCCCCGACCACGCCTCGAGCGAGACAGCTCGTCGCGTTCCCTTGGGAGCTCGACTTCTCCCCCGACGCCCACCCCCAGGTCTGGACGGGGGGGGGGGGCAACGAGGCGTCAAGAGTCCGCGTGTGCCCGAAATGGCTCCAGACTGATGGTTTCGGATAGCCAGAGATGGCATCCAAGATGCCACAAGATAGTCCAAGGTGGCTCACGATCGCTCCCAGCATGCCTCCAAGAGGCTCCACGATAGTCCAGAGACTGCTCCAAGTTGAATCGGAGGACCCCAAAGATACCGCCGAGATGCCAAAATCTGTTGAACTCCAACGTTGTGCAATGAGTGTGGCCTTCTCGCCGGTTCGCTTCCTTCAGGTGGTTTCAAATTCGCCCAAGAGAGCCCAAAGAGGAGCCCAGAAGAGCTCCAAGACGGCCCAAACAGCGCCCAAGAGCATTCAAAGAGCGTCTCAAGAGGGCCCCAAGAAGCGATGTGTCCCGCTACGACGGGAGGACCCTGATTCCGCAGCGCCGCCCTGTGTACTGCCCCACGGCCTCCAAGGTGGGCCCAAGAGGGCCCGCAGGGCCTCGAAGAGGGCCCCAAGAGAGCCACATGAGGGCCTCACAAGGCTCACTGCAGGGCCCCATGAGAGCTCCACGATGGCTCCAAGAGGCCTCCAAGAGGCTCCCAGAGATCTCTAAGTTCGCCACAACATTATGGGCTTCGTAACCTGACTGTATGCGCATAGGCGCCTCTCCTCCAGACAGCTCGCCTGGGCAACGTTTCTGGATGGGCTGGCGGGGATACGCGAAGTGCCAAGAATATACGTAATGGGAGCTCAGGGCAAGGGGAGAGGGAAGGCGCCACATGCGAGGCAGGGGGGAGCGGGGAGGAGTAGAATGGCGAAAAGCAGGCTGGAAGGCGGATACAAGAGCGGGGGAGCATTGGAGAGAGAGAGAGAGAGAAAACAAAAAAAAAAAAAAAAAAAAAAAAAAAAATGAGAGAGAGAGAGAGAAAGAGACAGACACAGCGAGAGCGAGAGCGAGAGCGAGAGAGAGAGAGAGAGACAGCGAAGAGCGAGAGAGAGGAGTAAAAAAGGACGAAGAATCAGCTGTGATCCAGTAGAGCGCGTTCAACCACAAATGAGGGTGGTTGTGGCCCTTGCCAGTCTACTGCTTCCTCCCCTCCCCCAGCGTGAGGTCCAAGAGGAAGCTGAGTTTGCATACCGCCTCACACCAACTTTCCCCAGCCTGGCGACATTTACCAGCCTGGAACATATCCCTATCCCTATGCTGGGCACCTCCTCATCACGATGCCAGTCTTAGGGATTCCCTTGTTTTTTGAGGGCGAATCCCTAAGATTGTCATCGCCTTTTGGCGTGTCAATCTTAGGGATAGGGATACGTTCGGGGCTGGTAAGATATCTCGTAGCTATACCTCAATCAATAACGGGGAGGCCACAAATCCTTAAGGAATCCCCGTCTGCTTCACCCCAGTTCTCCTAGCCACAAGCCGGCATCCACCCAACTCACCCGACCACCCGAGCTAGAGACGCTCGCCAATGACTTCCATGCCAGATCCGTCCCCCAGTCGCTCAGCAGCGGCCCGAAGGAAAGACCCAAAGAAGCAATAAGCATAAACTCTGAGAGGTTCGTGCGACTTCGCGGGTCGACACTGGACCCCCTGACAGGCGCGCGGAGCGCGCCACGGGCGGCGCTGAAGGGAAGGCGCCGCCAGGAGGGGGCCCAGCGCCGACCCGACACATCCGCGCGGATCTCCGAAAATGTTCGTCGTGCTTCTGCCGCGCTCGGGGGGGACTTTAAAAGGCACCGATGCCGCTACTCTTGGGACCTCTCCCCGGGTGCGTCCTGACCAGGATGCCGAGGCAAAGCCAGCCGCGGCGACGAGGGCCTCCCGGGAGGCCCGAAAAGGTGGGCACGAGGCCAGGGTGGCGGTATCGATGCCGCTTCCTCCCTTGAGTGCCTTGTTATTCGACGTGTGAGAGGGGCAACGACAGGGGGGGGCACGGGCAACAGGAGTAGAAACATCGACCTGGAACTGGCGATACACCGCCGACAGATCGGCGATGGGCCCCCGATAGCGAATCCGCACGCTCCTGGGCCAGGGGAGAGGTGATCGGGCCCCTATCGTCGACGAGTGGACGATGGCGGGGTCGATGCATTCCCCCCTATGCCTATCCCCCCCAATCGTTCTCCCGAGACGTCCCTGAATAGGGAAACGAGCTCTATGCACCGACGCTTTTTCCGACCCTGCGCTGAAAGTCGCGCAGGAACGCGGATCCTGGTGTATACGGAATCCTGGTGTATGCATTTTTCGTTGCTTCCCTTGGGAAACGGGGGAACAAACATGCACCACACCACCCCGACGTCGCCCCCGACCCTCCAGAAAGCCTGGGATGGAAAACCAGCCCCGCCACTGGTAATGTAATACGCTCTAGTTTCCGACCACTCGTTCTCCCGGGACGTCCCTGAATCTAGCTGACAGAGGCCTCCTAGATGGGGTCGGAGTAGATGGGGTCGGAGGATCGCGCCGCATCAGCGATGCATCGGCGATGCATCGGCAATGCATCGGCGATGTCGGCGTGAGGAAAATTGGGCACCACGTCGAGACGCATCGCCGATGCACTGGCGATGCGGCGCGATCCTCCGACCCCACCTACTCCGACCCCATCATCTAGGAGGCCGACGTCGTCCCCGACCCACCACCCCGACGTCGCCCCCGAACCTCGAGAAAGCCTGGGATTGAAAAACAGCCCTGCCACTGGTAGTGTATGTGCTCTAGTTTCCGACCAGTCGTTCTCCGTCGTGACGCCCCTGAGTCTAGCTGATAGAGGCCTCCTAGATGGGGTCGGAGTGGATGGGATCGGAGGATCGCGCCGCATCAGCGATACATCGGCGATGCATCGGCGACGCATCGGCGATGCACCGGCGATGCGTCGGCGACGTCGGCGATGCATCGGCGATGTCGGCGTGAGGAAAATTGGGCCCCGCGTCGAGACGCATCGCCGATGCATTGGCGATGCGGCGCAATCCTCCGACCCCATCTACTCCGACCCCATCTAGGAGGCCGACGTCGCCCCCGACCCACCACCCCGACGTCGCCCCCGACCCTCGAGAAAGCCTGGGATTGAGCAACAGCCCGCCACTGGTAGTGTATGCGCTCTAGTTTTAAGTCGGGTCTGTCCCCCTACAGGGGGATTTTCGTCGAAAAATAAAAGATACCCCAAAAATGCCCCAAAATAGAAAACAACACAAAAAAAAAAAAAGTCCCCAGACTATGTTTGGACTATTTTTTTGCAATTTTGGGGTATTTGTTATTTTTCGTCGAAAATCCCCCTGTAGGGGGACAGGCCCGACTTAACTCTAGTTTCCGACCAATCGTTCTCCCGGGACGCCCCTGAGTCTGGCTGAGGCGCTCGCCGTCGTGCTGGGCGGTGGCCGGAACGCGGTGGTGGTCCTGGTCGCCGTGGCGTCGCCGGGCGGGAAGCCCAGGGCCTGAGACCGCGCGCGGCCGAGGGGCCCCCCCCGCGCACGCGGCCGGGGTCTGCAGCGAACAGTGCGGACGCGGCCGCAAGAGAGAGGCCCTCGCAAGAGAACGAGCGCCCCGGAGATCCTCGCGCGGGCGAGGGCAGACCAAGATGAATAGGCACTCTCGAGGCAACGCAGCAGGAGTCTGCGCACTCGTTGTTTTCTCGGCGCCCTCGTTGTTTTATCAGCAGGGGAGGAGGGGAGAGGCAGCCAAGGAGGCAGCGAGGGGAGGAGCAGGGAGAGCGAGGGGAGGGAGAGGCCTGCGCGCGAGGCAGCAGCAGGGTCGAGCGGGCCCGGCAGCGGACTGGAGCGGGGGGCAGCGGGATTGGCCTGCACGGGGGGGAGCCCAGAGCACCCTGAGCGCACCAGCTTCTTCAGCAGCCGCGGGAAGCCCCCGCAGAGCCCGCGGAGCGAAGAAACCCAAGGTGCCCTGACGAAAAACGAGTGGTTTCTCGATGCGCGTCCCTGCTGTACCCCGCGGCCCCCCAATGCAAAGGCGACCCAGATCTCCGACGAAGCAGCTGTCGAGTAGGGGATCGACTACAGGATTGATTCACCCCATGATTGACTTGCTCGTCGAATCTACGAGAATTATGCACAGCGTTCCGTATATCGACGAACATTCTACGTATTTTTCGCAAGTTCGACGAAACAACTAGTTCATTTGAGGGTGAATCAATCATTTAGCCGATCCCCTGCTCGACGATGAGCGTTCGGGCTCTGAGTTTTTGGGCGCGCTCGTGGGCTCTCGCAGCTTGCCGGCCTCAAGATGCCTTCCAGCGGCTGCGGCCCGTCGAGAGGTTTCATAGGAGGTGGCTGGATCATCCCGAACGGACGCTGGCAGCCCAAATTGGGACCCCCAGAACCGCCTGCATCCCCAGACCTCCGACAATTCCGACAATATGACTGTTTCTATCCGGGAGTTGTTCTCCGAGTTCTGCCCTCGGGGGCCTGTTGTTGGGTCCTGGGACCATCCGAGATACATCCTGGGCGAAAACCTGGCTTTGGCGAAGCGGTCGGGACCTCCTGGGCCGCGCATTGAAAACAGAATGTCCTCGACGCCTGGGAGTGCAACTCCTGCTGCTCCCCAAGGACTTCTCCCAGAGCCCGCCAGGGTGCCCAACAAAAAGACCCGAGTAGCCCAGCACACACACACACACAAACACAAACACACAAACACACAAACACACTAACACACAAACACACAACCACACAACCACACAACCACACGACCACACAGACACACAAACACACAAACACACAGACACACAGACACACAACCACACAAACACACAAACACACAAACACACAAACACACAAACGCACAAACGCACAAATACACAAACACACAAACCAGCAAACTCAAACACGCACAAACACACAAACACACAAACACACAAACACCCAAACACGCAAACACACAAACACACGACCACATAAACACACAAACACACAAACACACAAACACACAAACACATAAACACACAAACACACAAACACACAAACACACAAACACACAAACACACAAACGCACAAACGCACAAACACACAAACACACAAACCCGCAACCCCAAACACACACAAACACACAAACACACAAACACACAAACACACAAACACACACACACAAACACAAACACACAAACACACAATCACACAAACACACAAACACACAAAAACACAGACCCACAAACACACAACCACACAAACACACAAACACACAAACAAACAAACAAACACGCAGACACACAAACACACAAACACACAAACACACAAAAACACAAACACACAACCACAAACAAAACGACAACAGGACCACACAAACACACAAACACACAAACACCAATTCACACAACCACACGACCACACGACACCACGACCACACAGACACACAGACACTCAAACCCACAAACACACAAACACACAAACACACAAACGCACAAACGCACAACCACACACAAACACACAAACACACAAACACACAAACACACAAACGCACAAACACACAAACACACAAACACCCAAACACGCAAACACGCAAACACACAAACACACAAACACACCAACACACAAACACACAAACACACAAACATACATAAACACAAACACGCAAACACACAAACACACAAACACACAAAAACACAAACACACAAACATGCAGACACGCAAACACACAAACACACAAACAGACAAACGCACAGACACACGGACAACACAGACACACAAACACACACACACACAAACACGCAAACACACAAACACACAAACACACAAACACACAGACACACACACACAAACACAAAGACACACAGACACACAGACACACAGACACACAGACACACAGGCACACAGGCACACAAGCACACAAACACACAGACACACAGACACACAGGCACACAGACACACAGACACACAGACACACAGACACACAGACACACAGACACACAGACACACAGACACACAGACACACAGACACACAGACACACAGACACGCAGACACACAGACACACAGACACACAAACGCACGGACACACAGACACACAGACACACAGAAATACGGAAACACCGACACACAAACACACACACACACACACACTCAGACACACAAACACACAGGCAAACACACAAACACACAAACACACAAACACACCAACACACAAACACACAAACAAACAAACACACAAACACAAACACACAAACACGCAAACACGCAAACACACAATCACACAAACACACAAACACGCAAACACGCAGACACACTGACACACAAACACAAAAACACACAAAAACACAAACACACAAACACACAAACACACAAACGCACAACCACACAAACCCGCAAACCCAAAAACACACAAACACACAAACACACAAACACACAAACACACAAACACACGCACACGCAAACACGCAAACACACAAACGCACACACGCACAACCACACAAACACACAAACACACAACACACACAAACACACAAACGCACAACCACACAACCAAACAAACACACAAACACACAAACACACAAACACACAAACACACAAACACACAAACACACAAACACACAACCACAGGAACACACACACTCACAAACACACAAACACAAAGACACACAAACGCACAAACGCACAAACGCACAACCACACACACAGACACACAAACAAACAAACACACAAACACACAAACACACAAACGCACAAACACACAAACGCACAAACGCACAACCACACACACACTCAAACACACAACACACACCCACACAAACACGCAAACACGCAAACACACAAACACACACACACAAACACAAATACCCAAACACACAAACACACAAACACACAAACACGCAAACACCCAAACACCCAAACACACAAACACGCAAACCCACAAACATACAATCGCACAAACACACAAACACACAAACACACAAACACGCAAACACACAAACACACAAACACACGAACACACAAACACACACACACCCACGCAAACACGCAAACACGCAAACACGCAAACACACAAACACACAATCACACAAACACATAAACACACAAACACACACACACACACACACAAACACACAAACACACAAACACGAACACACACACACACAAACACACAAACACACAAACGCACAAACGCACAACCACGCACAACCACGCACACACACAGACACACAAACAAACAAACACACAAACACACAAACACACAAACGCACAAACACACAAACACACAAAGACACAAACACACAAACACACGAACACACAAAAACACAAACACGCAAACACTAAAAACACACAAACACACAAACACACAAACACACAGACACACAGAAACACAGACGCACAAACGCACAGACGCACAAACACGCACCACACACAAACACACAAACACACACACACACAAACGCACAAACGCACAAACACACAAACACACAATCACAAAACACACAAACACACAAAAACACAAACACACAAACACGCAAACACACAAACACACAAACGCACAACCACACAGACACACAAACACACAAACACACAAGCACACAAACACACAAGCGCAGAAACACACAAACAAACAAACACAGAAACACACAAACACACAAACAGACTCAAAGGCACACAAACACACAAACACACAAACACGCAAACATTCAGATACACAAATACAAAAACACACAAACGCACAAACGCACAAACACACAAACGCACAAACACACAAACACACCAACACACAAACACACAAACACACAGTCGCAGAAATACACAAACACCCAACCACACGACCACACAGACACACAGACACACAAACACACAAACACAGCCACACAAACGCACAAACGCACAAACACACAAACACACAAACACACAACCACACAAACACACAAACACACAAACACACAAACCCACAATCGCAGAAATAGACAAACACAGAAACACACAAGCACACAAACGCACAAACACACAAACACACAAACACACAGACACACAAACGCACAAACGCACAAACACACAAACACAGAAACACACACACAAACACACAGACACACAAACACACAAACACACAGACACGCAAACACACAAACACACAAACACACAAACACCCAAACACACAACCACACAAACAAACAATCACACAAACACAAAAACACACACACACAAAAACGCAATCACAAGTACACACGCAAACACACAAACACACAAATGATGATGATTGTGGTGGTTTTAATGGTGATGTCACGATAATGATGATGATGATGATGCTGATGATGATGATAATGTTGACGATGCTGATGATGATGATGGTGGTGGTGGTAATGATGATGGTGTTCCGATGATGATGATGTTGATAATGATGTTGCTGATGATGGTGATGATGGTGTCCCGATGATGGTGATGTTGATGATTACGATGATGTTGATGATGATGGGATGATGATGAGATCATGCTGATGGTGATGAAGATGATCATG